GGAGCAGCCGCTCGCTCTCTGCATAATGAACCGTCACACGTGTGCCTCTGATTAATCGCGTGCTGTGTGCCCAGACAGATCAATCCGTCTTCTGTAATTAGCACGGAGATTTTTTCAAATCGACACAGTAAATTGATGGATTTGATAACATCGCGATCTTCGAGCTTCAAGGGCTTACATATTTAATCTGAATAATTCAGCAATATATAATCCTCCAGAAATGGGTCTTTTTCTTTCTCAGCCTTCCCCCATTCGTGATTTTTTTTAAGCCACAAACGTTAACTTTGCCTATTTATTTACAATAACTCCTCACTGGACAGCCACCCAGGAAATGGTGTGAGTGCTCCACAAAACTCATTTCCAATGAGTTGTAGCCTGAGGTGATTGACAAAGAATGTTTTACTGTCTAAGGCAGTGGTTCTCAACCTTCCTAATGCTGCGACCCTTTAATACAGTTCCTCATGTTGTGGTGATCCCCAATTTCATTGTTACAAATTGAACATAATTAAAGCATAGTGATTAATCACAAAAACAATATGTAATTATATATGTGTTTTCCTGTGAAAGGGTCGTTCGACCCCCAAAGGGGTCTCGACCCACAGGTTGAGAACCGCTGGTCTAAGGGGATAGACTGCCTTCATAGCTTTACGGTGATATCACTGACACATATAAACTGCACATATTTAAAGTACGCAGTTTGTCTCGACATGTGTGTGCAGCTGTGAAACCGTGGGGACGACCATGACAATAAGTGTACCCTCCCCCTCCCCAAATTTTCTTATGACCCTGTCAGCCCTCCAGACTACCCTCCCTTTGTCCCTGTCCCCACCCCACAGGCAATCACTAAAGTTCTTTGTCACTGAATACTAGTTTGCATTTTTCTAGAACTTTATAGAAATGGGATATAAATGTACCCCCGTGTGGGAACCCTAGGCCGTGCACTCCATTTGTCTGGCTCCTTCCATTGGGCATAACTATTCTGAGATTCGCCCGTGCTGTGGCATGTACCAACGGTCCGGTCTTTTTTATTGCTGCATCCTACTTCAGTGTATGGATATACCACGATCTGCTCACCTGCTCACCAACTGGTAGAAGGCGGGCTGTTGTCGAGTTGCGTCCTATCCTATATAATAAAAGGCTAATATGCAAATGGACCAAAGGGCAGAACGACCAGTCACTGTGACGTGCACTGACCACCAGGGGGCAGATGCTCAATGCAGGTGCTGCCCCCTGGTGGTCAGTGTGCTCCCACAGCCAACCTCCCCTGGTCGGCCAACCTCCCACGGTCCCTCCCCCTGGCCGGCCAGCCAACCTCCTGTGGTCCTTCCTCCCCCACCCGCCCGGACTGGGCGAGACGGCCCTGATCGGCCCCAATCATTGGCCAGGCCGAGAGACCCCACCTGTGCACGAATTCGTGCACTGGGCCTCTAGTTACAAACAAAGTGACTACGAACACCTGAGTTTTCATTTCTCCTGAGAGGGGACGGGCTCAATTATAAGATCCGTTTGCATTTGCCTCAAGAGCCGCCAGACTGTTCTCCGAAGTGGTGGCAGCATCTCCCACTTCCCCTCTCACCCTGAGCGCGCCAGTCCCTCCACATCTTCGCCAATACTCGCTGTGCTCGGGCTGTTCTATGGTAGACGTCTCACCGTGTGCGGTGATTTTAATCCCTGTTCCCCTCGTGACTGACGACGCTCGGCATCTCTGCACGGGCTTGCTTAGCTTTTGCATATTTTCTCTGATGAAGCACCCGTTCCAATTGCTTGCCCATTTGTAAGTGCCGTTTCTTTTCTTGCCATTAAATTCCGTGTATTCTTTATATATTCTGGATACAAGTCCTTCATCAGATATATGATTCGCCAATAAGGTTTTCGTAGTCTCTGGCTTGTCTTTTCATTATCTGACAGCCTTTCCAAAACCAGACATCTCTCCCTATCATAAAATCCAACTTGCCAACCTTCTCTGTGCGGCTCTGCTCCTGGTGTCTTACTCGAGAAATCCCTGCCTAACCGAAGGTCCCAAAACTGCACCGATGCTTCCTTCTAGATCTCTTCGTTTTAAGCTTCTATTTAGGTGTAGGGTCTAGCTTTACTTTTTTACATGCTTGATGGTTAGAGTACTTTTAAATCTTGTTTCATGTGTCATTATTTTTGTCTATTTGCTATTAATTTCTAACTTTATTGCATTTTAATCCGAAAACATTACACATGGTCATGAGTGTAAAGATTTCATGTGTATTTCAAAAGAACATGGTTTTCTGTGTGAGTATAAAATAACATAATTATCAGTGAGATCAATTTGTTAACTGGCTGTTGAAGTCCTTTATATATTTTTATTTATTTGATCTGTTGTCTTCTGAGAAAAGTATAGCTAAATTTTCTACTAATTACGGATCTCTTGATATTTTCTTACATTTTCCTGTTGTAGCTTTCTGTAGTTCAGAATTACGTAGTTAAATATGTAAAAGTTTATAATTACTCAGTTACCTTAGACTATTAATATGAAATCCTTTATTCTAGTTAATATTATTTGCTTTGAATTTCATTTCATCTGCTATTAATACAGGGTAGGGCAATAGTAGGTTTACAGTTGTGAGTATGTGAAACAGAGTTTATTCTTGTATTATTTATTAACTAGAGGCCTGGTGCACGAAATTCATGCGGGGGGCGGGGGGGGTCCCTCAGCCCAGCCTGCACCCTCTCACAATCTGGGACCCCCCTTGGGGGATGTCCAACTGCCGATTTAGGCCTGATCTGGCAGTCGGACATCCCTCTTGCAATCTGGGACCGCTGGCTCCTAACCGCTCGCCTGCCTGATCGCTCCTAACCACACACCTGCCTGCCTGATTGCCCCTAACCACTCGCCTGCCTGCCTGCCTGATCACCCACCCCTAACCGCCTCTGCCTCGACCGCCGCCGCCGCGGCTTCGTCCAGAAGGATATCCGGAATGAGGTCTGAAAGGTCATTCGGCTGTCCATTCTAATTAGCATATTATGCTTTTATTATTATAGATTATTGTATTATTTTCCACATGGACAACTGTAAGCCTCCTGCTGCTGCGCCCTGTATCACGCCAAGTATGTTCTCTTCAATGGTCTGTCCTTAGAGTATCTCTCATCAGATATTTGCAAATCATATATCTGAGGAAGCACTTGACTGCAAGTTTTTGTTGTACAAGTACCACTCATCACCAGATACAGCTGACTGTGTTATAATCATTTTCATAACACCCATGTTATAAAATGAAAATTTAATCCATTTACATTTGTTGTGATTACTAATGTTATAGATATTACCTATTTATCATAACTTTTTGTTGGTTATTTTGTGCTGTTTTTTTTTTCCATTCTAGCGTTTGCTGAATTTACCAAATTAAAAGAAAAATCTCTTTCAAAAAAGGTCTCATGAAAAAATTCATGATACAAAAAAAGCAAAAGTTGTATTTGATCTCATAAAATCTCACTTGATCCTCTAAGATGATTCATTATATTAACTCAGCGGTTCTCAACCTGTGGATCTCGACCCCTTTGGGGATCGGAATGACCCTTTCACAGGGGTCGCCTAAGACCATCGGAAAACACATATATAATTACATATTGTTTTTGTGATTAATTACTATGCTTTAATTATGTTCAATTTGTAACAATGAAAATACATCCTGCATATCAGATATTTACATGACGATTCATAACAGTAGCAACATTACAGTTATGAAGTAGCAACGAAAATAATTTTATGGTTGGGGGTCACCACAACATGAGGAACGGTATTAAAAGGGTCGCGGCGTTAGGAAGGTTGAGAACCACTGTATTAACTGAATGTTATGTTAACTGAATAAGCCTTTCTGATGGTTTTTAAATGTATGTATGTCACCTACATCATGGTTGTAGTGTTCACCCTTCACACTTAAAGATGTGCATTAACTTTGTGTTCTTTGGTTAATTACAACCTGCACTGACTTAGAAGAGCCTGCTTTTCATGGCTCTCTCTCCGGCCTGACTGCTGTTTGCGTGTGTGTTTCTGTGATCACAGATTCGCAGTCCCTCTGGGATGCGTCTGCCCTGGGCACCAGAGGGCTCAGTAGGTCTGAACACTCCTCTTCCATATTGGAGGCTCTTTTCCTTTTATTTCTTTGATTATTTTATTCTCTCTGGTTTCTCTTCACTCGCCTCTTAGAGCTCTTCTCAGACGGACGCTGGCGTGTGTGTAACGACTGCCCATCTCTTCGACGGTCTCCCACGTCCGAGGCCTTCCCTTCCCAAGGCCCTCGGAGGACACTCCCTCGCTCGGCCCTTCCTCTCACCAGTTTACATCTGAGCCGTGTCAGCCGGCATTTCCATTTACAATCTCAAAGTCAACTTTCAATTCCCTACGTCCTGCGCTGGGTGATTTTTCTTGAATGAAAACCCCCCTACGTCTCTCCCCAAACGTCGTCTTCTGACCCCTCTGCTGCCTCCAGGCCCGTGTCTTCTCCACCCCAAACGTTCTTCTGACCCCTCTGCTGCCCCCAGGCCTGTGTCTTCTCCTTCTTTTTTTTTTCCTGCTTCCCTGTAATTCTGAAATCTCCCAAAAGGAGAGGATGCGACTAGTTGGGTCATTCACCAGCATGTGTAGGCCACCTCTGTGGGAATAGGTTGGGCCAGGTCATCTCCTGGGTCAAGCTGATGACATTGGCTGCCCATGAATGGACACTCATCACAGTCTCAATCACTCATGAGAGGGCAGTGCAGACAGGTGGTACAAAAACCAGGTGAAGCAGGTAGTTGTGGCCATGAGATTTCCACAGATGGCAGGACTGTGACAGGAAACTTTGGGATGTGAATCTCTTCTCCTTTACCTATCTCTATATATAAAAGGCTAATATGCAAAGTGTCCCCTCAGGAGTTCGACTGGGAGACTGGGAGACCGGGAGTTCAATCACTCACTATGACGTGCACTGACCAGGGGGCGGCACGGAACGAAGGAAGGCCCCGGCCGGCAGCCAGCAGCTGGATCACCCACCGGCCAGGCCTAGGAACTCTACCCGTGCATGAATTTCATGCACTGGGCCTCTAGTGAGTAATAGTAGGAGCTACAGTTTAGTGAATGGTTTTGATATGGCAGGTCAGAGAGGTTGAGTGACTCATTGAAGTTTACACATCGTGAAACCAGCTGAAGCAGTTTCCACACCAGGATCACAGCAACGTCTATACTCGTAACCACTCTGCAGCCTCCAAGAGTGGGAGACCGAGCGAGTGAGAGCACGAGAGTAAATGCCCACAGAGAAAAAGGTCTGCCGGATTCATGGGGCAATTCCTATAGCCCGATGCCCTGCCCCTCCCATTATCCACTGCACTCTTTTGATGGGGTCAAAAACTATTTGGTCATTCGGTAGAAAGCAACAAAGGACAGGAATCCAAAAAGAGAAAAAATTCAAACTGCAAGAGCAAATGAACAGCTCATCAGTGAAGTCATGTAATAAAATCTGAAGCATGTGGTTATTGATGAAATCTGTGAAATTCCTTCCTATCCTGGGATAGGAACTGGTTAGTACAGGTGATATTTTATATGACCACATCAGTTGGAATATGGATTTAAAAAACATAGAAATGCAAAACTGCAGCTGAAATTTGAGGAAAATAAATTTTAAAATGCTACCAAGACAACCTTGTGGATCTAAGTAGTGCCACTGAATTGTACACTAAAAAAATAGTTAAAATGGCAACTTCTGTGTTATAATTTACGACTATTTTTTAAAATGGTACTAGGGATATCAAATATTACACATGTGAATGAACTGAAAACTGAACCAACACATATAATCATTACATTTGCTATGTGTATATACTTATATATCTTTACTAAACAATGAGCAAGACCAAGAGCGTTAAATCTGTGCATATATTTTATCATTTGGAGTGTGTCTTTCTCCATAATGCAAACAAGAAAATGCACTTTGAAAGTTTGCATCCTATGTCACCTGCTGAAAAATCTTAACATTGTAAATTCATTATAAATCTATTGAAAATTGAAAATTGTATTAAGATGCAACTATAAAAAATTTGTAATAAAACTCAACATTGCTTTCATATTGAATATTAACGTATTTAATAGTAATTATTAAGGGCAATAAATGTTGCTTTCACAGCACTTGCCTGGGATAAGGTGGACACCTGCATTGTTTCTATGATGCCATTATTACCCAAGATATTTCTGAAACTTCCTTTTGTAACCAATTTGCAGGTCACTCAAGAAAGGCACGTCTCTTTACATTTGGGATCTAAACCCACATTACCTGGCTTGATCACCCAATTTGCTTACCAGGTTCACTTCAAATGATTCTTGGCAACTTCCAAGAGTCAAATTCATCCTAGAATGTATGAGGTCCTTACCCATAAAGGAGGTATTTGAGACAAGTAGGACAGGTTCTAAGAATAACATCGATTAAGTTCCAAACTATTTGGAGCAATGGCAGTATTGTTGGATTGTGTACACAAGCAGTTAATGACTTTGCAAAAGAATTTTTAATTTACAAGAACCACTTTGCAGGAGGACTGAACAGTCTCATTCCTTCAGAGCCACTTACTGAAAATCTGCTATCCAGAGATGTCAACAGATGCTGCACTTGGCTTAGTCTTTAGTAACAAGTGTTAATTGGGTCTCTGTCCTCCAAGAAGCTTCCTAGCTACTGAAAAGAATCCCAAAAACATGGAAAATAAAGGTCTTTGTATTCCCTCCCACTTCGAATACCAATTTTTAAAAATTAAAATGTCTTTCACCTCCAGTGCCCACTTGGGCTTCACCATTACTCTCTGCTTCTCCCTATCCCCACCCCCCCTCTAATGGCCTTTTCTCGTCCTCATTCACAGGGAGGAATGGTCATCATGCTTTTGCTCAGTGTGGCCATCACAGTGCTCTCTGTCATCAACGTGGGCAAGAGCATCATGTTTGTCATGACACCCCACCTGTGGGCCACCTCCTCCTTGATGCCCTTCATCGGCTTCCTGCTAGGCTACGTTCTCTCTGCTGTCTTCCGCCTCAATGAACAGTAGGTATTACTTTAGTCTCACTGTTCTGTGGGCCTCATTCTTGTCCTGGTCTCTCAGGAAAAGGATGAGGAGATCTGAGGCCTGCGGAAGGCATTTCGCCAGCAATATGTTCAAATGCATCAACTGAACAAGGGACTTTAGACTGAAATATTGGGAAGGTATTGAATGGGTTAGAAACATTAATCCAAAGACCAACGGCATCTCTCTAATCATCCAAGAGCAGCAACTCATGGCTCCCTCCAGAGGCTAGATTCCATCTCCTGCCCAACTCCCTGGTAGCTAATGACACTGGGGTATCTCTGTGCCATTATGACAAATGTTGATCATATTCTTCCTCTTCCACATTTCCTCCTTTTTTCCTTTGACAAGAACACCATCAAGTGACAGCTCTGCTGACGTAGCTGGGACCTCGGCTAGAGTCTAATCCAATTCACAAACAGCTGCTACTTTAAGGGAATAGATAACTTTGAAAGCCTGGAATGGGAACATCAGGCACCCTGTCTATACAAAGCAGTGCATGTCCAGAACTTTTGCTCTTTTCAAGCATAGTAGACAAATGTTTATGCAGGAATTTACATTAGTAGCACCCTAGCACTCCCGCCCCCACCTCAAAAAACTTGTGTTTTAAAAATATAATTTTAAAATAATTATTCATACAAAAAACAAGTTGGGAGTTCCCAGTAGGAGGTGGGGTTGGGGAGCTGGGTAAAAAGGGTAAAAGGATTAAGAAGTACAAATTGGTAGTTACAAAATAGTCACAGGGATGTAAAGTATAGCATAACGAATATAGTCAATAATATTGCAGTAACTATATATGGGGCCAGGTGAGTACTAAAATTATCAGGGGATCACTTTGTAAATTATATAATTCTCTAACCACTATGCTGTACACCTGAAACTAATCCTCCTATATAATAAAAGGGTAATATGCAAATTGACCCTAACAGCTGAGAACAACCAGTCGCTATGATGTGCACTGACCACCAGGGGGCACACGTTAAATGCAGGAGCTGCCCCCTGGTGGTCAGTGCGCTGCCACAGGGGGAGCGCTGCTCAGCCAGAAGCCAGCTCATGGCTGGCCAGCGCAGCAGCAGTGGAGGGAGCCTTTCCGGCAGTGCTTAGGGGAGCAGGCCTAAGCCGTCAATTGGACATCCCCCAAGGGGTCCTGGACTGCATGAGGGCACAGTCCAGGCTGAGGGACCCCCTGAGTGCACAAATTTTCGTGCACCAGGCCTCTAGAATAAAATAATGAATATCAATTGTAATTAAAAATAAAAAATTTTACATAATTTTTAAAAATAATCATCCATTTTAAAAAAACATGCTAATAAAGACCAAATTAGTACAGGATATAACACATGGTGATACAGTAGAGTCAAAAGACTGCCAATGACTACTTGACGTCAACTTTCACGACAGAGTGGTATGGATCATATACGGCCCCAACATCACAGCATCAAGTACCGCCAGAGCAGTCTTCCTCATATGCTGAGACAGCTCTCAGGGGTTTTAGTGAATAACAATTATTTTAATACATTAATTACAATTCAATGAATTAAATGTACATTTATTAAATGTAAACATCCCATTCTTTAATTCATAAAATGGGAAGCAAAGCTGAGATTGTATTCCAATGATAGATAAATGTGGCTGAATCAAGTATATTTTTTTAATCATCACGTTTTAGAGTTAAAGGTAGCAAAGCCAGAAACTTGGGAACAGGACAAGATCTTCAGGTATTTCAATCCTCTACTATATGTTAAAAATTTTAATTGTCCTGTAAGTCCAATATAACAAGCCAATGATTGATACTGGCTCACACCTTCCTTTCCTCCCTCACCAACTGGACATTTCTCCAAATTTTAATTTAGTAACCCTACAAAAGTGGACAAATCATCCATTTCCAAGACAATAAAAAGTGATCTCATAAACACTCGCTTCATGAACCCACTTCCACAAGGCTGGATTGGTGATTTTAACATGTGTCGACTCCCCTTTTCCTGAAACCATGTGCACTCCACTCCCTGGCACACTTCCTGTCTCAGACTGTTAGAGTATCTGGGGGGAGAAGATAGGGAAGTGAGGCTGTACACTCATGCCTCTTCCGTGAGGGCATACGGGGTGGTTGTTTTGTAACCTACACAGATGCAGGCGCACTGTCAGCATGGAGACTGGATGCCAAAATATTCAACTCTGCTCCACCATCCTCAATGTGACCTTCCCCCCTGAAGTCATCGGACCACTTTTCTTCTTTCCTCTCCTCTACATGATTTGCCAGCTTGGAGAGGGGCTTCTCCTCATTGTCATCTTTCGGTGCTATGAGAAAATCAAGCCTTCCAACGGTGAGTACTGAATTATTCCCCTTGGAGATCTCACATATTGGAGAAAAACAAGCTTCCGGCAAGGACCTGTTAGATGGGGCTGTAACTATCAAGTCACTAGAAACCAGGTAGCAACAAGAAGTACGAAGGGGCCTTAGCCTGTTTGGCTTGGTGGATAGAGCGTCGGCCTGCGGACTGAAGGGTCCTGGGTTCGATTTCGGTCAAGGGCACATGCCTGGGTTGCAAGCTCGATCCCCAGTGGGGGGCATGCAGGAGGCAGCCAATCAATGATTCTCTCTAATCACTGATGTTTCTATCTCTCTCTCCCTCTTCCTTCCTCTCTGAAATCAATGAAATCAATAAAAATGTATATATAAAAAAAAGTACGAAGGGCCTCAAAGAGCCAAGGCTACTTCACTCACTGCAGTTTTGGGTGGAGTTTTTCAGCTGCTTACTCCATTTGCTCCGGGACAAGACCTGGAACGCGTCTGCCTATATCGCCGCCGTCTTCGTGTCTTCTCCTTCTGACTTTCCGCTGGGGGACTCCCTCCCTCGGGCTGTGCTGGGATCATCCGCGCCTTTTGTCTGAGAGGCTGCTCTGGCTCCTCCTCTGCTCATAGCTGCCTGCCTCTGGCCGTGAACAGGGACAAACCAGGGCTGCTCCTGCGGGGGCCTCCTCCCCCACCGGGCATCGTGCACTGCCGGGCGCTGCCCACCTTGGAGGCTAGCACCCACACTCCACGATGCACTTTGTGGGTAAACACAGCTGCCACCCACTACGCAGCACAGGAGGGAAGAAAAACAAAGGCAGAGCTCCACATGGAAAGCCCCAGTGAATCAACAGCTCCGACACGCGCCCGACGGACCATCGGATGCAGTCCCCGCCCCCCCCCCCAGGTCACGTTTCCACCGTCTGCACCTCAAGCTCGGTCTTGTCTTCCTGAATTACAGACGGAAATCTCTCTGCTACAGATTTAACTCGCTTTTGTTTGTTTTCTGATCTGCTTTGCCACGTTTACCAGATTTTGGCAAGGGAGGGAGAATGAGCCCATTTTAAAAGTCAACTTCCAATTCCCAGCCATGAGGGAGGCACATGCTTGGATGGAAAGCGGTAATGAACTTTCTCGGGCAGATTCCTCCCGTGATCGCCTCTCACAGGATGCCACTGGTGTGGGTGCGTCCCGAGGGGACGGCGATCCAGGCCGCTCGACGCAGCCTGCGCACAGGCAGTACCTGGGACCTCGCGGAAGTAAAAGCAACAACACGTGACGCCTCAGAGCGAACCTGACTGCTCCGCTGGTTCCGCTGGAGGAGCCGCCCGAGGACCGGCCGAGCCTGGGCGTCAGGAGGGGCTAGATCCCCCTTCGCCTGTCAGTTCAACTGTGAGAACCCAGTGCAGCGGTTTAATTTCTCCGGACAACGCCCATCATCGAGGTCACCAGCGTCACTCTCCCATCACAACAGCCTCAGACACAGGCTCAGGGGGTGTTCTACCTGTGACCTCACTGTATGGCTTCTCGCTGCTATGTACCCTCCAGCACAGTGGTTCTCTGGTTCTCAACCCTTTAAATACAGTTCCTCCTGTTGTGGCCCAACCATAAAATTATTTTCGTTGCTACTTCATAACTGTATAACTGTAAT